CTTTGAAGCTTTATGGCTGTGTGACCCTGACAAACTGCCTTTATTTCATTGGCTTTTATTTATTGAGCACATACTATGGGCCAGGAACTGGTCTCTATGCTGGGGTTACAGTAGTGAATAAAACAGAAAAAAATCCTTCTGTCCTCATGGAGGTGACCTTCCAGGTGCAGGGGAGTAGGAGTTAAAACACTTCAACAGAGACAGTGATATGTAGTGCGCCAGGTGGCGGAGAGAGCCATGGGAGGCGTGAAGTGAGGTCAGAGGATGGAGAGATAGGAAGCGAGCAATGCAGACATTTGGGCAGAGCATCCCAAGGGAGAGGAGACAGCAGTGCAAAGGCCCTGAGGTATGTTTGTGGAACAGTGAGGCCGGCGTAGTCAAATGAAGAGAGCAAGGAGGAGAGAGAGCCGGATCACGTAGGGCGTTTTGTAAGAACTTTGGCTGTAACTTTGAATAAAATGCAGAGCTATTGTAGAGTTTTGAGCAAAGCACGATGGGACTTGACTTAAGTTTTAACAGGATCCCTCAGGGTGTTGCGTTAAAAATAGCCCAAAGGGGCAAAGGTGGAAACAGGGGTCCCAGAGAGGAGGATGTCACAATGGGGGTGTCTTGGACCGTGGAGGCAGCAGTGCAGGTGTCAGAAGCACTTGGAGTCTGGGCATGTTTTAACTTTTGAGTAGAATCCACAGGATTTACTGAGGATTTGGATACAGGATGTGAAAGAGAGAAAAATCCAGTTCATGGTGACTGTGCTGGAGGCAGCTCATAGTGGCTTGCGAGAGCTGATTTAATGTCTAGGCATTTGGTGAGCCTATTGTCATCATGCGGGTAGCTTGAAATTGGCCATGGTGGGATCATTTACACCATGGGAGTTGGCAAAGGCTACAGATTGGGGAGTGGCTCACCCCTCCCCCGCTTGCTGAGAAAGCCAGTTGTTGAGCTTTTACTAGTACCCCACTGGGCTAGAGTAACTTCAAGGTGTTATTTAACATTTTTTTAAATTAAATTTTTATTTATTTGTTTTTTTGCCTGAGCAGCTGGTAGAATGGATTACTCCTTGCTGAGATGGGACAGAAGGAGAATCAGGAGTTTGACTTTGGATGCATTTCATTTGCGATGATGCTCAAACATCCAAGTGGAGCAGTGAGGAAGCAAGTGGATACAAGTTGAATATAATAGCTGCAACTACCTTTAGGATTACTCTGAGAAGCGAATAATAAAATGCAGTTTTTACTTATAAAAATAAAAATTCATGTTAGTAAAGACCCTGCCAATAGTATATGCTCAACAATGTAAATTTCTTCATCACTGCAATGGGAAAGGACTTTCATCACTATCTAGAGCAAGGGTTGCAAACTGGTGGCCCTCAGCTTGAATCCAGCCAGTAGACAATTATTTTTTTGGTGGGAGCATTATCTGAAAAAATTGAATTTAGGTGGAGCATGCGCTTCCCAGTTCATCGCAGCCCCTGCATTCCATATTATCTCACACCAGCCCCCATTCTCATAGTTGCTACTTGCCCAGCTCTGTAGGGGTTAGAGTTTGCCTCGGTAGAAGGCAGCCGTCATTTTGCAGAGGAGGAATTTGAGGCCAGCAGAGGCTTGGTGTTGGGTCCAGGGTTGCTGAGGGCATGCAGAGGGGGTCCTCTCTCCCAGGCAATGCTCACATCTAAAGTTGCCAAAAATGATCAGAAGAAAGTCTGCCCTCTGCAAGCGTTCCCTTCCTGCCTTCTTGATGCTAATGCTGCTGGCCTGGCTTTTGGGAAGCTTTAATTGCTTGAGGTTCCCAGATCGGCCACCTCTTCTAATGTGTGCTTAGCAGTGGAAACAGTAGAAGCCACTTCCTTCTGGAACGGCCCCTCCCCGTGACGTCACTCCAGCGCTCTTGGCTGCCTGCCCTCCCCGACACAGACACAGAGGGTGGAGGCTGTGTCTCCAGCCTCCAGCCTGGTGCTGGCACACAGTAGGTACGTAGTCACGTTTCTCCCTAGAGTTAAGAGAGATGATCCATTCCATTCTTGGCCAAAATAAATTCTACTGCTGAAGGGACAACTATCAGAACATTTCGAGCACCTGGAATTGTGCTTAGCTCATAGCAGACACTCAAAAAATATGTCTTGAATGAAGAAATGAGCATCTTCTTCCAGACTCTGGAAGTCAGAGCGGAGGGGACAGGGAGAGAGGATGCACATTAACTGAGGAGTGAGTGACGGAGGCAGGGGGTAGGGGCACATAAAACCTGCCTCTGGCACCCACACAACGCAGCCGTTCCGAGACCTCCATCGTAGATGAGAAAAACTGAGGCCCAGAGAGAAGCCCAAAGCCACACAGCTGGGAGGTGAAGGGATTCTTTCCCAGGTGGGCCTGACTCCAGGTCCGCAAGAAGCAGCTGTCCAGGCTCTGGAAGTTTTTGACTCAGCTGCAGGAGGAGGTTCAGGGACAACCTCGGAGAACACTTCTGCTGCCTCTAAAAACAGCCTCAAAAGCCAGTCACTAACAATTTGCAAATAACTTCCCTCTCTCTCGCGAGGCCCCTCTGCTGCTCCCAGCCTGCTGGGTTTTGGCATTGCCCTCTCACCCTCGCCGCCTGGGTCTGCCAGGAAACCTGTTTATTTTGCTTTCTCCAGACGCCACCATCTGTCTTTGTCCCCTTCTCATCCTCATCTCACACGGGGCAGTGGAAAGAGCACGGCTGAGAAGCCACAAAAGCTTGGATTTCCGCTCTGCGACTGGCCAGCTGGGTGGCCTCGCTGCACTTGGGCTGTCCTATGCAGACAGTGGGGACAGTTGCCTCCCAGGCAAAGTTCTACGTGAGAATCACATAAGACGCAAATGCTTAGAGCAGTCGCTGTTGCATCTGGCCCAGAGCAGGTGCTTCCCTACTTCCTGTGAGTGTTGTTCTTCCGGGGGAAAGTTCTGGATGGAGCATCTAATAGTTACCCTCTCTGGGTACAGGAGACACAGCCACACAGCCAGGTAAGTCCATTCATTAAAACACGTTTTCATCCAGCAATCATTTCCTCAGTGCCTACTATGCATCAGGCTCTGTTAGACCCTGAGAACAGAGGTAAGTCAGACCAAACCCTGACGGCAAGAAATTTCTGGTCTAGTTGAGGGAGACAAACAGGAAAACAAACTACTGTAACACAGTGAGTATGTGTTACAGTGAGTCCCTCTTCCTGGCCTCATTGGCCATTCAGTCCTTTGAAAATGATGTGTTTGCTCTTGCCACAGGGCCTTTGCACATTCTGTTCCTGTTGAATGCATCCTTCCAACTCATCCTTTAGTTCTGAGCTTTAGTAGCAGATCCTTGGGAAGCCTTTTCTGACCTTCCTCTTAATTTCAAATCCCCATATAGAATCTCATAGTACCATAAACCTTTCCTTACATTGCTTATTAAAGTTACAGTATGCAATTATTTGTGCATATCCGCATTTAATATCTGTTTCCTTAGGAGACTGAATTTCTGAAAAATAGGGACTCCGTGTATATGTGTTTGCAGCAGCAGCAGCAGCTGCTGTTGTTGGTCCCGCCATGGGGACACCATTTCTTTGTGTAGTCCCTGGCATGTTGTAGATGCTTAATTAGTAAATAATATTGTTGAAAAAATAAAGCAGGAATAACTTCTTCCCCACTCCCCCAAATTTGGCTGGATTAGGAGGGTGACCCATTATAGACACTCACAACTGGATATCCAAGAAGATCCGCTTTTCTTCCCCCACGTGGATCTTCCAGATACAATCTTCACCTTCCACGTAAGGCTCTGGCCAGTTTGGGGACAGCACCACCCCAGCTACAGCAGAGAGCTCCCCACCACACATGGCTGTAAAAGACAGACAGACAGACAGATTCTGTTTGTAAGGAAGCCAGTATGGCACAGTGGCTCAGAGTTGTGGACTGTGAAGTCAGACAGCCATGGATCGCTGTGTAGCGTGGACAGGTGTTTTCACTCCAGGCAGTCGGCGCGTGTGCCTGGAGTGATTAAACGAGAGCTGGCCACCTGCCTCCTCTTAGCCGAGGGTTGGTGAAAGTTGGGCTAAGGGCGCCATAGCTCTTTCAGGACCAAGGACAGAGCCCGAAGGTCAGGCTCAATCCCCAGCAGCTCCGCCCTCGCGCAGGGCGAGTAGTGGCTAAGAGACAGTACGCTAGAGTCAGATGGGCCTGGGGTTCAGTCTTGGCTCTGCCACCAATAGGCTTTAGGCAAAGGTATGCAACTTTCTGCAACCTCAGCTCCCTTTCTCTATAAAATTGGGGTGACTGCTGCCTTCTTTGGGTTATTTCGAGGCTCGGCTGAGCCCATGAAGGTCAAACGTCCAGCACAGTGCCTGGCACATGGTAGGTGCTCGATAGTTCAGATAACTTTACCGTGACAGTTTCCAGCTCTGACCTGGAAGCAGAGATGTGACCATGGCTGGTGCCCTTTAAATTCCATTTTGTGTTTACTGCTTTGGAAAGTTCTCAACACGGCAGAGGCCAAAGCACCAATAAATTCCACTCTGTTAAACCAGCACATTTAATATAGGGACCAATCCCTCACCGTGGCAAGGCTGTGACTTCACGCCAACTGCCATCCAGGCGGTGGCTGCCAGGAGCGAGAGCACCTCTCCTCATTCCACATGCCCCCGGGAGATCCGGGCTCGAGGTAGCTCAGCGGCCTTGAATGTGGGGACACAGGCAGGGCAGGACCCTGGGAGCTGTGTAGATGAGGCCTCTGCCCAGCCAGCCTTGTCCAGAGGGGCTCAGAGCACAGCCCTCTGAGAACAAAGAGACCCGAGTTCCATTTCTGTCTCTGCCAGTTGCCTCAGTGTGTTCGCGGGCAGGTTACGTCACGGCATCAGCTCCCTCATCTGCAGACGGGGCTAATAACATCTGCCTTATAACATTTTGGTGAGGACGAAATCAGATAATGCACATACAGTCCTTGGCAGAGTGCCTGTAGCATAGTTATTACACACCAATTAACAACTATTATTATCATTACTATAATATTAATGAGATTCAGGGCTGCCCAGTGTCGTTGGGTGGGTTGTGCACTGCACAAGTGTGCATAGCAAGAGGGAGGATATAGGAGCTGAAATCCATGCAGCGATTGCCTCACCAAGCTGTGCACTATGAGGCCTATCCTTGGAGGAAGGGGCACGTTTTAAATTTTATCCGGTTTGTAATTTTCTCAAGAGCAGCAGCAAACCCTGATCTGGTGGGTAGCAAGCCCTGGAAAGGGTCCCATTCCTAATATCGGCGTGTAAACCGGGGACATGCTTCTAAGCCGGGGCTTTAGTCGTCCTATCTGAAGGGCGTGCACTCACCTCTGCACAGGGGCTCTGTGTCATTCCAGTACGGGTCCCGCACATTGATGCACTCGATGATGGCCGGGCCCTGCTCCAGAGAGTGGCCGGGGTCGCAGGTGAACTCCACTGTGGTCCCGATGTTGTAGGTTGGGTCAGAAGTGGTGAAGTTCCCATTCTGAATGTAGGGCTCGTAGCAGTGGCCTTTCTCAAACGCTGGGGTGGGAGTACAAAGAGAGACACCCCCTCAGGTGAGTCGGGGCCACCCCAGGTGCTGCATCTCAGAAGACCGGTCCCCTCTGGCTGTTCAGAAAAGCCCCAAGGAAAACGAGCACCTGGCCACATGTCCTGGTTCCAGCCGATCTGATCAGAAACCCTGGGCCATTCGCTTGGCTCCTGGGGGCCTCGTTTTTCCGTATCTAAAATGGGTATAAGAATCTCTGCCCTCTCAACCCTGCGCAGTTGTCGTGTTTTAATTCCTCCCGTATCCCACAGGTTTCCCGCAACTTCAGAGTCTCGCTTTCTGCCACCGGAAACCCTAAGTCTGTCTATGATAGTGGTCAGCTTTCCTTGGGAAAGCCAGAACAAAGCCCCCAACACACATGAAGTATGCAGAATGCCCTTCCTTAGAGCATCGGGTCCTAGCAGGAGGGGCCCTTGCTCATTCTTCTTGGAGGAAGAGGTGGCTGGACTCTAAGAGGTCCAGGGGGTCAGGAGAGCAGAGCTTAAGTCTGGACAGAAATCTTAGCTCCATTCTTGTTCACTGGTGGCCTTGGGCAAATGAATCAAGTTTCCTAATCCTCAGTCTCCTCATCTAAAATTGGCAATAATGATAGTTGTAACCTTTCCGTGTGGCTGGGATCAGACAGACAAGGTACACAGGCACAGGCACAGAGTGGGCACTCGTTAAACGGCAGGCGATATTGCTAATAAAACCAGGAGTCGAGTCTGTCTTCAGGAGTTAAAGGATCCATATGGCCACTGGGCCTCCCCCATCCTTAGCAGCCCAGGTTTCTACCTCCCGGGACCCGGCCCCCACCCTCCCCGTGCGTCTCATGTCCCCAGGCCCCCACCCCAAGAGAAGCGGAGGCCCCCAGGAACCCTCACCCTCAAATCGGATGTTGAAGGTGGAGGCCGCCCGGGCCTGGCCGGACGTGAACTCGACGCGGATGGTGTTGTCCTCGCTGAGGAGGCCCTCGAAGGGGACGCTCTCGGATTGCAGGGAGTCGTAGAGAAGCGCCGACCTGTTGGTCTGCCCACTGCGCACCGTCATCCTGGCAGTAGGCAAGGAGAGGATGGACTCTGAGACACCTTCCCGGGCCACGGACGCAGCAGAGAAAGGGTCGTGCTAAACCGCCACCTCTGGAGTCTCATTCCCCAACGCGAAGCCTGACTTTGCCCCTTCCTTGCCCAGACGATCTGTGCCGCCTTCGCGAACCTGTTTCCTCTTCCGTAGAATGGGATTCAACGCTTGCCCTGGATTCTTTAAGGATTTATTCGGAGGTTGTAGGGAAAGTGATGTGTATGATGTAATGAACCAATTAATGAGCGAATCGATTGATGTTTTTAATTATTATTGAGAAGTCGAGATTAATGGACTAACGTCATTGTGGAAACAGTGGTGTATATAAAGTCAGGCGGACCTGGGCTTGAGTCCTGACTCTGTAACTTCCGAGCTGTGTGACTTCGGACAAGAGAAATTGCCCTCTCTGGGCCTCTGTTTACTCATCTGTAAAATGAGTACAATCAGATTCACATCCGAGTGTGGGGATTAGAGACCATGGATATGAAGTGTCCAGGACAGAGGAGGGATGTAAGTCACAATTACTAAGTGTCTGATCCCTAGCAGGCTCTGACTTTGATTTTCCTAAGAGCACTGTGTGGGGAGTAGTCAGGAGTTCTCATTTCCAGTCCCAAACCCCCCATCAACTGAGTTTATATAAGTCTCAAAACATCGCTGGGCCTCAGTTTACCCAGCCGTGAAAGGAGGGATTACAATGTCTTTCTGACCTATCTTGTGGGTAGGCTTTGAGAACATTTTAAAATAAAGTGCCCTCAAAAAATAAAACGTATTAGACAAAATGTTGGGTAGTTATTTTTACGGTTATTAAAACCATTTGATACTTGACTCCTTGCTAGTCCTGATATTTTTAGAGAAATTACACAAAAGCAAGGAAGAAAAACAGTACACAAATTAGAGAAGTTTCTTTTATGGAGTCGTAAACACACATGTTTAATCCTTTGAGCTTTTTACTATGACTCATAAAAACGGTTTATGTTGCCCAGACGAATTTCTAATGTCATCAAGATGCATAAATGTTGGAGCAACAGTTTGTTACATCTTGGGGGCTGTGTGCCAGGACTCCTCTTTCAAAGAACAGAAGCCTTTGCAAACAGGGTCATTCTGGAGGAAAACCCAAAGATCTCAAAATCTCTGTAGTCTATTAATCTTTTAAAAATAGCAATTTTCTAGCTATGTTCTCTAGAATGTCTACAATGGCAATAGGTTTTATCTCAAATCTTTATATAGTCTGTGGTCTACTGGGTTTGGGAAATTCTGGGTTAAACAAAAGCTATTTTTTTTTCCTGCAGGACTTGTCAGTGCCTTTGTTGGCTAACCTATATTACAAGACAAGGATAGGGCATGTCCCCAAACATGTCTGATCAGAGAACCCACCTTTTATGCTGCATCTTGTGGGACTGGAGTTTAGAAGATCTTTCTTCATATCCCTCCTTTACTAAAAACCCTTGCACGGCTCTCTATATGCTGTAGAAGTAGCCTGGCGTTCAAAGCCCCTCAGGATATGACCCCAATTTACCTTCCAAGCTTTATTTTCTCCTGTTCCCCATGAGAACCTCTGCAGCAGCCCCCCAACACACTTGCCAATTCTTTCCTCTACATCTTGGTGCTTACCCATCACCCCCAATTCCCCAGGCTTGGAATATTCCTCCCATCGTATTTTTGGGCTCCACTATCCAATCTCTTTCCAAGGTTTAGATCAAAGTCCCATTGCTTATGTGGGGTCTTATCTAGCTCTGAGTTCTTGCCATTGACATACCGTGGTTTTGGGGGTTTTGGTTTTAGCTGTTTTTCCCTTAATAAAGTGCAAGGGACAGATAAAGTTAATTTTTCTTGTCTTCTTAGCAAGAAGATAAGGAAGTGTCTTATCTTTCTTTTGTGTTGACCTTTAACTTTGATGAACTGTTGCAAACTTCTTTCCCTACCGACACACTGGAGAACTAATTTTCCCTGGGGAGTGTTGACGCTTACCTTTCTTAGACCTTTGTGGGGCCCCGTAGAAACCACGAGTGAGTAGTGCCAGCGTTGGGCCTATCACAATTTCAGTCACCTTCAGAAAAATCCTCATTTTGGTTAACTCCCCCCCCCTCCTTCTCACTCTTGTTGTCTGGTAGAAACTCAAGCCCGGTTCATCTCTAGCGCCACTCGGAAGAGGGAGACCGGAGACCGGATCTCCGAGATTTGCAAAGTGTCCCTCACCTGGCAGGTTCCCGTGCCTGGCTTCTCAGAGTCGCCAGAAGGAAGGATTGGGAATCTGGTTTTTAAAGAGTCACCTGGCTTTTTCTAGTGCCACTGCAAAGCCACCTTTGGGAGCCCCTGCTTGATATCTTACACTTCAAAACAGTGATTCATCGATAACAGAGTTGTTGAGGGTATAGCCGGACTACTTAGACAGAAGTGAACTCAAGAGATAGAAAAATCATTTAGTTGCTTGGTGTTTTTTAAATAAGAATCATTTCCAACCTAAAGACTCGATAGTCTAGGTTTGGAGCATCGAAGAAGCCAACACACTAGAATTCTAGGATCAGAGTTTGTTGGATTCCAGAACTCTAAGGTGCTGGCTTCCTGGAGGTATAATCAATGCTGCCAGTGCCCTACCCCTCCGATCCCCTCAGCGCTTGCTGCTCCCACATTTTCTGCCGGCTTCCTACCCAAAGTCTCTGAGGGTCAGCTGCTCGGCCAGCTCGAAGAGTGGCAGGCAATGCTGGAGAGTTACTGTGCCCGGGAGCACCCTCACCCAGTGATGGGCGAGGTTGGTGGATAAATACCCAGCTCCCTCCCTCTTCCAATAGGACCACTCCGGGGTGTGCTCAACACAGTGCCCCAGGGGTCCCCAGTGGACAGAGCCCCGGCTTTCCCACCAGCCCCCTGCTTGTGAACACATACGTTACTCAGAATAAGGTCCTTTAAGATTCTGGATTCTGTGCTTATTCCTTAGGGTCTACAGATACGCTCTTGCTTAGATGTTGCCTTGTAGCTTCTTTCTAGTTCTTTCCTGTGCGTTGTCTAATTTTCCCATCTCAACTTTCTATCATACCAGGAACCAGGGTTCTTTAATTCTCTCCTGTTCTCTAGGGCACCCAGCACAGGGCTGGGCACAGAAGGTGATCCATAAACACTCCCTCCTTGTTCGACGGTGCAAGAGAAAGAACGAGACGGTGTAATCTGGTTTTTCCCCACCTTGATGTGTGACTCTGGGCAAGTCCCCTTCCTTCCGTGTGCCCTAGTTCCCTTATCTGTGAAAAGAAGAGATTGAAGCTGGTGGCCTCTGAGATCCTGGCCACCCACCTCAGCTCTTCCTTCCTTGAATTCCGTGAGTCAAAGCGTCAGGACTCCAAATCCCTGGCCACATTCTAACACTCTGGGAGGGAATGGGGCTGGGTGCGGAGCTTTAGAGGGTTACCTGTCTTTCTCGTGCAGCGACAGCCTCTCAAAGTGGAGGTGCAGCTTCTGTCCCTCTGGAGCTTCGATCGTCCACACGCAGAACTGGCTCCCGTTGGCGTTTCCGGGGTAACTTGGGGAGAGGACGCGGCCGATGGTGGCATTGTACACTGCTCCTCCGCAAGGGGCTGGGTCCAGCAAGTGGGGTGGGAGAGCAGAGACGGAGGAAGTCAGTGTTTCATCCTCCCCTGACCCTCACCCCTACCCCCAAGCTAGGGTGAAACACCGGAGACCTGCGGTGGGAGAAAACAGGGCAGGGAGAGGAAAGCTCGGAAGGAACTTGTCCTCCTGGGAGGAAGTCACCCTGTGTGAAGGGAGCTCTCGCTCCACAATTGGAAACATCAGTGTGTGTTCATGGTGGGGGGTGACCTCCACTTAAGGACTCCTGCGTGGTGCTGGCTAAGCCCTGGTTTTAATTATAAAATGGTAATTGAGAAGGATATAAATAGGCAGTTCACAAAAGAAGAGATATATTTTGAGTACTTAGTAAGCACTAAAAAATTCAGCATCATTAGTAATAAAAGAAATGCCAGTCTAAACTACATTCTACTTTCATCAGCCTAATTGGCCAAGGTAAAAAGCGGTAATAAAATTTAGAGATGGTAAAGTGATGAGAAATGCTCGCTCTTGTTCATGACTGGTTGGAATGCAAACTGTTATGGGCTTTCAGGGGGGCTATTTAGTGAAAAAGTCTAGAAAATTATGTTCAAACACTTTGACCCAGTAATTACAGTTTTGGAAATTTATCCTGAGAAAAGATTTAGAGAGTTGCGCAAAGATTTAGCAATGAGGATATTCACTGCTATCTTGTTTCCAAGAGTGGAAAATGAGAAAGAGCATGAATGTCCACTCCCAGATGTTCGATGAAATATAGTCAGGCACACATAATGATGTTTCAGTCAGTGAGGGAACACTTATACGACACTGGTCTCATAAAAATTCAATAGCATATTTTTACTGTACCTTTTCTATGTTTAGATGTGCAACTACTTACCATTGTGTTACAACTGCCTACCGTATTCAGTACAGTCACATGCTGTACAGGTGTGTAGCCTTCGAGCCATAGGCTATATAGCCTAAGTGTGTAGCAGGCTATGCCATATAGGTTTGTGTAAACGCACTCCACGATGTTTGCACAATGACAAAATCACTTAAGGATACATTTCTCAGAATGCATCCCTGTTGTTAAGTGATGCATAATTGCAAATAACTTCACCCATATAGTTATTAAAGACTGTGTTCTTAAAGAATACTTAAGAATATAGGATTCCTTGGAAGGCCAAGGCAAGAGGATTGCTTGAGGCCAGGAGTTCAAGACCAGGCTGGGAAACATAGGGAGACCCTGTCTCTAAAAAAAAAAAAATAAGAAAAACTAGCCAGGCATGGTGGTGCGTGCCTATAGTCCCAGCTACTTGGGAGGCTGAGGCAGGAGGATCACTTGAGCCCAGGAGTTCGAGGCTATAGTGAGCTACGATTGCACTACTGAACTCCAGCCTGGGCAAAAGAGTAAGACTTGATCTCAAAGAAAATAAAAAGAATATAGGAAAATGTTCACTGTTTTTTAAGTGAAAAAAAAAATCAAGTTAGAAAATGATCTGTCATACCTATTTTAATGTGCTATTTACAAGGATCAATCGAGACCATGAATATAAAAGTGATTTGTTTCTATCTTCTACACTTTTGTATTTCTTAAATTTTTTTTTACCAGAATCATATATTACTTTTATCACAAAAATCTAATAAAGAAATATTAAAAAGTGATTTGTGCAGAGGAAAGCACTCTTTCTAGATCACAAATAAGGAGGCGTTCTTACTCGTATTCTTAGGAGATATTTGCTCCTTGGAAAAGTGTTTTCTCATGCACTGTTTGGGGAGCTAGTCTGAATTTTCCGAACCCGAGGAGAGCTGGTGGGCAGCAGACACCCTCACAGAGGCTGGCGGTCAGTCCAGGAGGGACGTGAAGTATAGCCGGGGGTCCTGATTGGGGAAAGCCCCTGACCGAGACCAGGGTTTCGAGTCTCGAGAGCCATTCCTACCTTTTAGATCAAAGAAGCTTAAAAAATATTTCCTGCCCAATAGTCCCTTGGTTCCCCCTCCATTTTCAGAGGAATAGAAGGATGAGAAGCAAAAGTTGGGTGGGTAGTTTGGAATCATCCTACAGAGGGCTGAAGAGTTTGTGGGCTCCGCAAGAGCTGGGACTAGTTTTTGTTTGTTTGTTTTCATCGTACCACCAGCAACCAGAAGAGCTCCTCATATGTAGCACGTGATCACTAAGTATTTATTAAATAAATGGCAGAAGCCATTCATTTTGAAAAAAGAGGAAAAAGAAGATCAGAGGTGTTAAGCCACTTGCTCAAGGACACACAGCTAAAGAGTGGAGCAGTTGGGACTTGAGCTCAGGCTGCCTCACTCCAGAATCTGCTATTGAAGCCTCTGCTCCACTCTCTGTCTTATGATGATGTTCTGTTGGTCCAGAAAGGTGCATGGAACGTAGCGGGTGCTTTATAAACATTTACTTATTGAAAAAATGAATTATTTTTTTCCTTTTTTTAACTTCCGGCTCAAAGCTTGACACATGGTAGGTACTCATTCAACGTTTGTCGAATGACTGTATGACTGAATAGAACTTGCAGTAGGAGGGATGGGTAGATGGCTGTCCTCTCTGCTCCGAACTCTGCTGTGACACACAGCAAAGACGTTGCCGAGAAGCGCCGCACTCCCTTCAGGACCACAGACAGAGCACTAGGTTAACGCCTCTCCCCAGGATGCCTTTCTGTCTTATGGTGGAGAGATTGTCCTCTCCAGTAAGCTAGTTCTAGGTTCAAGCCTTGCTTGTGCCAGTTATCTGCTGTGGCTCCAGGACAAGCCACTTGAGTTCTCTGAATCTCGAGTTGACCCACTGGAGGTGGGTAAGATGGTGGTGGTAATTCCACCCTCCTTATAGGACGGTAGTCAGAGATCAATGCAACGGTGTGTAAAGAGAGGGCTCGGTGCCGTTCCCGGCGCAGAGGAGCTGCTCAAACTGCAGCCAGCACCGTTGCCCTGTGGCTCGGGAGCCGAAGACGGAGGACACTGTCCCTGGCGGGGGGTGCCAGCCATCTGTCCTCCCCGGCTGCTGCTCGTGTCCTGCCTTTCTGCTCCCCTTCTCTGCCTTATTAAGCCAACTGACAGCTCTGTCTGGTCTCGGTTTGCCAGCCATGGCTCCCCATCCATCTTTCTTAGCACAAATCGAGGCTTAATTCCTCTCCGATTTCACACATAGATAAAAATTAACGTGAGAGAGGCGTGGAGACCAACTGCCCTATGGTTTGTATTTGCTTTTTTGTTAACGAAAGAAAAAAGGAAAAGAAAAATTCTGAAGGACCTGGGGGGAAATGATAATGCAACAGTGAAATCTCAGAGTTTGTCATCGGCCCTCATGGCTTTTGGAATTCCACCTCACTGTGAGTGCCTGGAGGGCAGGAGTCACGTTTCATTGTTTCCATTATTCCGTTTGTACACACGTCATAGCCTGGCACATAGTAGGTGCTCAGTTAATATGGGCAGCCTGTACTCTTCCAATCTATCGGGAATTTTGAAAATTTAAAAGGGTTTTTACTCCCTTGATAGCTGAAGATGGTCAAGGCTGCGCCCACTAGTGCAGGGACAGTTTGCTGCAGCCCAGCGCTTCTCAAGCTGTCGTGTGCACACGAGTCATCCAAGGGGCATGTCAAAATAAAAATCCCGGCTGGGTGCAGTGCTAGTGCCTGGAATCCCAGCACTTTGGGAGACCGAGGCAGGAAGATTGCTTGAAGCAAGGGGGTCCAGACCAGCCTGGGCAACATAGCAAGACTCTGTCTCAACAAAAAGACTTAAAAAAAAATAAGAAAAATTATTCAGGAGTGATGGCATGTGTCTACAATCCCAGCTACTTGGGAGGGTGAGGCAGGAGGTTCGCTTGAGCCCAGGAGTTCAAGGCTGCAGATTCTGCCACCGCGCCCCAGCCTTGGTGATAGAGCAAGACCCTGTCTCTAAAAACGAAATGAAGTGAAATGAAATAGCCTAATTCAGTTTGTCTTTCGTGGGGCCTAGGATTGTGCATCTCTAGTAACCTCACCAGTCTGAGGACCACACTGAGTAATGAAGGTGTGAGGGAAAGAGCTCAGGACGAAAGGATTCTGGACTGAGTCCTGCCACTTCAAGCAAGTGACTTCCTCTCTCTAAGCCTCATTCTCTTCGCCTGCCAAATGGTAGTCCTTCCTCCCTGGGCTCGAGGGAAATAACAAATGGTATTTTTTGTCCTAACCGATTTCCATGGATCCATGCTGACCACCCCCAACACTTTGTCACATAGAAGCCAGAGTGGTCGCTCCCGTGCTTACGTTGTCACAGACATCTCCTGCCTGCTGCACGCGTCTTCTCCTGACCTGAAGACTTTCAGCGATACGGTTGCTGACCACCGCCCCAGCCTCCTACCTGCTATTCTCCTGCCTGGAATCATCTTTCCCATTCTGCACCTGGTGTCCAGTCTAAGTAGCTCCGACTCAACGTCCAGATCTTGGTTTAAGAGTCTTGTCATCAGGTCATCCTTCCCTGACCCCTCACCCCTCAGTGCCCTTGTCCCAGGTCAGGTGCTTGGTCACGTGTCCCTTTATACCTTTTCTCCACTGCAGCACCTCTCACAGTGACAACTGATGTCTCCTCTGTGCTCAGTTACGCTGCCACGTTCCGCCCTGTGAATTTCTTTCCCGGTACTTACCACAGTCTGCTAGCATTTACCCATTTGCACGCTGCATCCTCACCTAGACTAGAAGCTCCGTGAGGGCAGGAACTGGGGCAGGGTCCCTGCAGTAGCTGTAGCACCAGGTGCAGTGCCCAGCACACAGCAGTCACTCAGCGGGTGTTTGTTGAATGATTACACAGGTAGGAAAGGATGTGATATCAAAGAACCACCAACCTACACTTAAAATTCCTTCTGTCCTTGAAGTCTCAGATTCTCTCTGCAGGCCCAGAAGGCCCACTTGTCTTTACTGGAGCGTCGGACTGCGTTAGCAGGCTACTGTCAACAATCTCTATCTGGAGACTTTGGGCGACTGATTCTACCTCCATGATCCTCATCTGTAAAATGGGAATAATGGCTCCCATCACACAGGGTTGCTGTGAGGATTAAGTGCAGCCCCTACTATGGTGCTCGGCACATGTTGGCTGGGCTCAGACAGTGGCAGCAGTCACACCCAAAGCACGAAAAACAAAAGAAAAAAAATCCTTAATCTCATCAAAATTAAAACCTTTTTGCATCAAGGGTACTATCAAGAAGTGAAAAGACGACCCATACAACGGGTGAAAATATTTGCAAATCATATAGCAAATCATGCAGAATACGTGAAGAAGGCTTACAACCCAACAACAAAAAGACAAACAACCCAATGGAAAAATGGGCAAAAGACTTGAGTAGATATTTCTGCAAAGACACACAAATGGCCAAGAAGCACGTGAAAAGACGTCTGACATCACAAGTCATCAGAGAAAAGCAAATCACAACCACAATGAGAGACCCTCATACCCACCAGGACGGCCATAATAAAAACAACAACGTGAGAAATAGCAAGTGTCGGGAAGGACGTGGAGAAATTGGTGTTGTCGCACATCGCTGGTGGGAAAATAAAATGGTGCCCCTGCTGTGGGAAATGGTTTGATGGTTCCTCAAAAAGTTAAACACAGAATCACCAGATGAGCCAGCAATTCCACATACCTAAGAGAAATGAAAACTTATGTCCACACGAATACTTGCATGCAAATGTTCACAGCAGTGCTGTTCGCAATAGCTAAATAGAGGAAACAACTCAAACATCCATCCACGAATGCACAGATAAACACAATGTGGCACGATAGAATATTATTCGGCCATGAGAAGGAATTAAGTACGGACACATGCTGCAACATGGAAGAACCTTGGAAACATCATGGTAAGTGGAAGAAGCCAGACATAAAAGTCACATACTGTGTGATTCCATTTACGTGAAATATCCTCCATAGGCAAATCCATAGAGGCAGAAAGCAGACTGGTGATGGGTGCAAGGTTTCTGTTTGGGGTGATGAAAATATTCTAGAGCAAGCAGTGGTGTTGGTCACCCAATATTGTGAATGTATGAAATGTCTCTAATGGTAAATTTAATGTTATGTGTATTTTGCTCCAATAAAAAAATTTCAATGGCAGCCGTCATATGTATTTGGAGCAGTCTCTTCCCCAGGCTGGGAGCCATTCCCTGAGGTCACTCCTGATGTCCTGGGGATTGGTCTCTCCCCTCTTAGTTGGACCATCCAGTCTGGTCCAGCCGAGGGCGGAGTATACCTGAGCAGATGGGCTCCTGGCTGCTCCAGTGGGGCTTGGAGGCGTTGATGCACGTCAGCGTCTGGGCGCCCTGGAGCTCGTAGCCCAGCTGGCAGTGGAAGTGGGCCACCCCGCCCGAGTGCAGGTCCATCACCGTGACATCCCCGGAGTTGGGCCGGCGGGGAAAGTTGCAGCTCAGCATGAAGGCTGGGGAGAAAGGCAAAGGCAGACCCAGTCATTCCTCGGAGGAGGAGATCAAGAACGTGACCCACATCCTGGGAGCCAGTTTGCGGTGGGGAGAAAAGATGAGCCCCCCAGGGACTCCAGAGTGCTGGAGGATGGTGATGTTTTCGTGATTCTCATTGATCACACGGTGCTGAAGCTGCCAGGTTAGCACTTCCCCACCCCACGTAACCAGGGATAGCGGGTTTGGGGTGAAAAATGAGTTCCCAAACCTCACTTGAGCCTCTCTCCACGGGGACATAGAATGGGCTTCTCTTTGGAAACAGGAGGAGCAGGATCACCGAGGTAGGTTAATCCCACCTGCGCGCACATCTGGGGTGTTTGTTAAAAATGCGGGCACTTGGACCAGCTCTTCGGGAAATGCCCAAGGATGCGAAAGCTGAAAATGACTGGCTTGGGGGGTGAGGCTTGGGCTTTGGAGGGGACCAATGTGAGCTGACGTTCTTTCACTATCACTTGGAAACAATGTGACCTGAGACAAGGCCTTAGTGCCCTGAACTTCACTGTCTTCATCTCTCCGGTGGAGGTGATAATCGAGCCCACCGCACAGGTGGTGGCGGGGATCGAATGACATCACGCCGAGAAAGTGCCTCCTTGCACAATGTCTGGCTGGTCGTTGGTACTCACTAGATGTGGGCAGTGAAATTCACCCGAGCCCCACCCCAGACCGTGGTCTGACCTCTCCTGCAGCCTGGAATACCTGTATCCCTGGTATTCGTCAGGAGGAATAAATTCAAGTTCATGGTTCAACAAGTTACTATCATTATTATTTTTTCATTTTTACATTTACAACAACAGGAAATGGCAGTCTCGATATTGAAAAGCTGTGACAAAGTGGCCACAGCCATATACAGCCATCCACCTGTTTCAGAAACAGGTGAGGGGGTGTTAAAAAATGAATCGTTTTTCCGGATGTCTGGTTAATTTGACATCAATGTGGTGGCTCCCAGCATCCAGATGTGCGGCTCACGTCTCCACGTTCCACTCGGGTATTTTGGCAGCTGGCGAGTATCTGAGGGGGGGACTCCTGGTCGGGGGTTGGGAGACCTGAGATCTGCCCAGGAGGAAATGGGAGGAAGGCAGGGAGAGGAAGAGGAGGAAGGAAAAGGAAGAGGAAGGAAGA